ACGAAGTACACTGCTGAAGGGAGCAGCGGGCGGGTCAGGAGAGGTCTGCCACGCCATGTGGTCACTTCCAGGGCAGGTGGGAATCAAACTCATGTGGAAGTGACTTTAGCTTCTCAGTGCTGTGCTTTAACCCACTGAGCCACTAGGGAGGGCCAGGAGTCAAGTTTTTTTACTTGACCTACTTAGTTGTAATTTGAAAAAAAAATTATCAACCAATTGATATTTCTTACTAAATCTTTTATTCCACTTAAATATTAACTATGAGATAGTTGCTACAATCCTTAAAAATATTATTGTTAGTGAACTTTTATCCATTTACATAAATGATAAATGCTCAAAAAAATGGCAAACAGAAAGAAAAGCATAGAACCAAAAATCTGCAACAACCCACTACTATAGTAAGAATTAACTGTGAAAAAGATATAAGTATCCTTAGTATACATATTAACAAGTTATAATTTGTGGTTTCATTTCCAGTGGGAAAATATTAAATTACTTTCCAGTCTCTTCCACTTGACTGTGTAATAAATAATTTCCCATGTAAATAAGCACCTCTACAAAATAAGTTTGCAGAGCTACTGAACACTATATATTTGGCATATATTATATTTAATCAACAAATAATCCTATCACTGGACATCAGTTTTTCTTTCCTCGTAATTATGGTCTTTGAATATGAATCTTTGAGCATATTTTTAAATATATGATTTTGTTAAAATATATTACAGGGGCGCTCCCTGGTGGTGCAACAGGATAAAGCACAGCATCATGAAGCTACCACAGCTACTGCAGCATGAGTTCCATCCCAGGTCAGAGAGCTGACCCACACGGTGCCACAGAGGTCAGGCAAACCTCTCCTGACCACCTGCTGTTCCCCTTAGCACTGTATTTCAGTACATCTGCCTGTTCTGCTCCCCACTCTGTCTCTGGTGAATCCTTTTACCCCCCACACCTCTGGCCTGTACCCCAGTTTTACATGCATAATTTTTTTAAAGATTTATTTACTTATGGATACAGAATTGGGATACAGGCTAGAGACACAGGGGCGGTGAGAGGATTCACTAGAGATGGAGTAGGGAGCAGAACAGGCCAACTGACGAAGTACACTACTGAGGGAAGCAGCATGCGGGTCAAGAGAGGTCTGCCACACCATGTGGATCACCTCTGGGGTGGGGATCAAACTCAAGCTGAAATGGCTTTAGCTTCTAAGTGCTGTGCCTTAATTCGCTGCACCACCAGGGAGAGCCCAAATAAATCTTTTTTAAAATAGAAATAAAAATATTACCAAAAATAAAATTAAGCTTGAAAGTATAGTCATTTCATGCCTTAAAAATGATCACCAACACAGCATTCCAGAGTTAAGAGTTTTACCAATTTGGATTTGGATTTGTTTTGTTTCCTTACCATCATAAATATTAGCTATCATTCTTTTCCATTTTTCCCAATCCAAGAGACAAAAGTACAGTATCTTATCAATAACTGTATTTATTTGATGTGAAACAACAGATTTTCAAGTACTGTATAGTCACTTTATATTTTCTTTGGTGAGCTACTTATTTGTGCATTCTGTGTATCTTTTCTACAGTGGTTGACTGCATTAGTCACTTCTCAAATAGTACAGAAACATTAACAAGATTTATCTTTATTTTACTACCAATATTATATAAAAATTTATTGTTAATATATTCAATTCTGTTGAACTAAGAAGGTGGTAGGCAACTATGTGTATAACTATCCAAACCACTTGTAACTATGTATAGGCAAAAATCCAAGCATACTCAAAACACTGCTTGAAAGTTTCAAAACAATGTAATTCAGAAACATGACCATTTAAAATTCATATAAATGAAGCATGATTTTCTTCTATAAATGTCTTTTTTACTTCTAATCACCATAAACCAAGATATCAAGTATTAAAGTAAAACTAATTAATCAAAAGTGAAATAAGAACAAATACATACAGTATAAGATAAAGTAAAAATAAGATTTAAAAACAATCTCTTAGTGATGATAAAGTTCAAATTTTTCAAAATAATATGTACCTTGTGGATTCTTCGTATTAAAACAGATGCAAAGAAACGTAATGTAATTCTCAGTTCATCAACAAAGGAATCATCGTCTGTAACATCCCTTCAATAGAGGTGAAAAGCAAGTATTTAGAAGTTCAGAGAAATACAAAACTTCTCTTTCTAGACACCCAGGAGAGTCTAGAAAATCCTCCTTTACCACTTACTATTCCATTCCTATTTGCTTCCTCTTAAAAAAAAAAAAAGTAATGCATTTCATTGCATACAACAGAAATTAAACATCTCCCCTAATTCTAGTACTGAGACACAGTCACTATTAACCAAATTGTGATATATATTTCCCTGCAGACCTTTACATATACATAGTCACATTTTTACAAGACTGAGACGATTTCTAAGCATCAAAGAAATTTTTAAGAAACAAAGAAAAATTCTGAAGAAGCTATAGAATTGCTATATTTTAAGTTAAAATATTTACAAACTAGCAATATAAACTAAGGCTAAAAAATATTGATTCTATTTGAAGAGAAAAACTGAAACACAAATATTTTTAAATAGAAATTTTGAAAACCACCTTCTCAGGAGCTACATTAATTTTCCTGAAGTCATTAGGATGTTAGAAGAATTAGGACTCTGCTCTAGTCAAAGGTAAGCAACAAAGGCTATGTATAAATGATTGTATTCTAAACTTGAAGTGGGTACTATTAAGCCCCTTGGTAGAATAAGAAAAAGAATTGTATCAACCCTGATTCCCACTATTAACCCCAGGAAAATATAAATCTTTAAAAAAAATTTTTAAAAAAGGGTTAAAGCAGGGCAGTATGAAAGTTGACATTATATATTATAGCATCAAAAACTATACTGAGGGAAAAAATACATATTTAACATTTAGAAATACAGTCAGATTTTATGGCTGGAAAATCACAAATTGGGGGAAGGGTGAGAGTGATTGCAACAGGATTCATTTCACATAAGTCCTCACCATCAGCTTTACTTAAATGGTAAAATACCCATATTTAAAAGAGACTCCAAAGAATAAATTAAATTATATATATAGCTTTTCAGGAAAAAATAAGATACAAACTGGGCATTAAATTTGCTTTAGTTGACTATAGATCAATTCAATTAGTAGCAATTCTTACACAAAATTCAAAATGCTGATTAAATGTAAAGTTAGGTGAGATGTTATTAAATATTGTATCTGTAAGTCATATAGGTGTAAGTATTCAAATATATAATTAAACACTTGATGCTTATATCATATATTTATTAAATTATATTACTTGGATTCCTGATTCTCAAACTTGATTTTTCTCAAAAATCCCACAAGGTATAGGTCAGTTGACTATTCATTGCAAATACCAAAAACAAAGTTATTTTGGGGGAAAAATATTAATTTTCCAGGAAAACTCCACTGAAATTATCTTTCAACTTAATAACTGAAAATACATTTCTCCTCTAAATGTATAATTATTTCAATTATATACAGTACATACAAAATATTAATAATTAATTACCTTTAGAAATGATGAGAAATTCTACAAGTTACTTTCAAAAAGGTTTACTTTCCTTTTTGTTATTACTAAACTGTTAATCGATTGCCTGTATCAATGATTCTTTAACTGGGTTCAATTATGCTTCTCACAGAGCATTTGACAATCATTACAGGCATTTTTGGTGGTCAGAACTATGGGGCAAGAGAGAGGACTACCAGCACACTCCATACCCACAAAATAAAAGAATTACTTGGCCTAAAATATAAAATATGAAAACCCTAGCCTAAACTGAAAATATAACACTAGCATACTAAATTTGATGGCATTCACTATACTAGAGAAAAAGTCTTATAGAAAGAACATACCTGTACCATGGATAAACAAAATTTTCCAACACTAATTCAAGAACCTGCATAAAAATTGTTTTTAGGAAAAATCAAATTAATTAATTCTTGGAAAACAAACTATACTACTAAATAAATATCACCAAGAATCAATTTTATTATCCCAAATATTGATATCCAATATCATATCTTCATATAATATGCACTATTTACATGATTGATTATCAAAGAGACTATGTGAAAAAACATAATGAAAAACCATAACACTTCATATAAAAGAAAATTACTATTAGAATGACACATCACTCTTCAGCATTTTGTGTAAGAATAAGTGCCAACTAACATATACATATTTCAGTCTCCCCTAGTGGCATAGGGGTTAAGTCTCAGAGCTGTCTCCACTACAGCCTGAGTTTGATCCCTGGCCAGGGAGCTGACCCACAAGGCACAGCAGACCTATCCTGTCTCACCTGCTGCTCCCCTTAGCAGTGTATTTCAGTGGATCTGTCTGTTCTGCTCCCAATTCTGACTGGTGAATCCTCTCACCCACTGTACCTCTAGCCTATACCCCAGTTCTTTCATGCATAAATAAATATTAAAAGAAAACACGACACATTTCTATATATTCCCAAAATGAAAAAAAAAATTTAAAATAAATTGTTCCATTGAACAAAAAAGTTCTATGAAAAGAAAAAAATAGGTTAGTCTTTTTGCATTCCTAATGTTCATTCTTAATTCCTAAATCAATATTCTCAGAATAAAGTGAAGAAATGTAATAGTAGCTTAGATTTATATAAGAGGTGTTAGTGATTACCTCTGAAGAAAAAAGGGAATATGAGAAGGATATCTAGGTTCTGTTTCTTAATACAGGTACTGGTTATATGGGTATGTTCATTTTCTGAAAATTGTAGCTGTATATTTAAAATTGGTATATAAGTTTTGTGTGAAAAAGTAAGAAAATTATAGAAATGCTGGTTGTCAAACTTTCTACTTCTTGGGTCTGGGTGCTGCACTATGTTTTAACTTTTTAAAGGATATGCAGCAGTAGGGAGTAACTTTAAAAGTAGGTGAGGGAATGAAACACTAATCTGCCTGTATAAACTTTGTCTGGCAGAAGAATGGTAACCAAGATTATAGATAGTCTAAATATTAAGGCAACACGAATTTGGATCTTTATTACAAAAATCAAGCACTATTTATATTAGACATTTAGTATTGGATACTTGTAAACAGAGATAAGATTAGAAATCTATCATTAAATATTTTGTCTATATACCAATTTTAATAACCAAATTCTACTGGCTTTATATGCTAAGTAGCTCTTTTCTACAGCCCCACTGTTTGGGTCCTCATTTTCCCACTCCTATGTATAGTAGTTACCTCTAAAATAGTCTCCCTGCTTCCAAACTAGTTCCCCTCCATTCTTCATAGAGCTTCCAGGGTTCTAAAACATACTCACCATCTAAACATACTTCCTTTGCATGAAGCCCTCAATATATCAAAGTAAGAAAAGCAGAACTTCACTGATTTTTGAAGGGACAGGGAAGAAATAAATGCCAGCAGCTGTGACCATTTACCTTCTTACTACCTCCCACTGCATCCTGTAAGTCACACCTATAAATTCTAGGAACAGTTTGACAATCACTGATTTTCATGATTAAGTAAAAACTCTTCAACATGGCCCTTTAAAGTCGTTTGATAATAATCTGATTTCTAAGGGGCTATATAAAAACTGATCAATACCTAAACTAGATTTGGGATTTAGACTATACTCTGATACCAACCTGCTATAAAGTTAAGAAAGATCATCAATAATAGCACCTACTTCACATGTTGTATATCAACTGCATGAAAACATGCAAGTACTAGCTACTAGAATATTGTCTCTTCATTGCCCACATCATCCTTCTCAATTTAGCCTCCGGTTACTGAACACTCCAAAAAGTTCTTCGCAAATTGTGAAATAATCATGGCTACACTATTAATCTGGAAAACTTCTAATCATCTTTCCCATCTTCCCCCTCTGAACTAATTCTGTAGTTTGTACCTTTCTCCACTACTGCCTGCATTGCATTGTATTATAATTACTATTTACAAATCTACCTACACTTCTAAATTGAAGTTCCTAGAAGAAACCGATATTTTTTTTTCTCTTTTTATTCCTAGGATCTATCTCAGTTCTTGACTAAAGCAAAGCTTTAAAAAAATGTTTTTAATGCTGGAGTTAAAAATTTATTGAATACCAATATGTACCAGGCACTAAGGCAAGAGATTTATAGAAGTGCTTTCATTTTTTTTTAAAAATTACACGTCAAAGACACAAATACTCTTGGCTAAAGGTCTTATCTTCAACAGACGTCAAGTCAGCATTCTCCAATAGAAATATAATGTGAGCCACGTGTGTAACTTTAAATTTTCTAGTAGTTATATTTTTTAAGACATAAAAAGAAATGGGCAAAATTGTTACATGTTTCATTTAATCCAATATACCCAAAATATTATCATTTAACATGTAAACAATATAAAATACATAATAGCATATTTTACATTCCATTTTACTTACTAAGTCTTCAAAATTCAGTATATATTTCATAGAGAGAGCAATCTCAATTTAGACTACCACATTTCGAGTGTTTATTAATATGCAATTGTGGCAAGTAGCTATCATATACAGTAACACAGTCTTAAATCCTAGGGATTAAAAAAGTCTTAAAGGGCCTCCTTGGTAGCACAAAGAGTTAAAGTCTCTCTGCTACCAAGCTATTGCCAGCCACTGCACCATGAGTTCCATCCCCAGTCAGGGAAGTGACCCACAAGGCACAACAGACCTCTCCTGTCTTACCTGCTATTCCCCTTATCAGTATATTTTAGTCAGTCCACCTGTTCTGCTCCCAACTCTTGTCTCTTGTGAATCCTATCAACCCCTGCAGCTCTGATCTACATCCCAATTCTTGTATGCAAAAATAAATAAAATAAATATTAAATATACATATATATATTTTTAAGGAAGCAATGAAAAAAATACTAAGCATTTGAATGGCGTTTTGTGCAGTATACTTTTGGTCAAAGTAAATAACCTAGGAAAAGGGGCATTTAATCAAAATTTAGATGCTGACTGCCATTCTTCAAGTAATCATCATTAAACTTAATTCAATAATTATCTTCTATCATCTGCCAACAATATAGCTGGGCCTGTATATGGTGCTAGGAACAAATAGACTCCATTCACTGCTTCAATGACTTGGTATGCTTTCTCAGAAAAATGGAGTAAGCAAGTCTCTAAAACAAATCATTAGAATTTATGTCACCTAAAAGGTATCTGTAAAATGTGACTGGATAGGCCCTCCCTGGTGGCACAGCGGGTTAAAGCACACTGAGAAGCTAAAGCCACTTCCGCATGAGTTCGATTCCCGCCTGCCCTGGAGGTGACCACATGGCATGGCAGACCTCTCCTGACCCGCCCGCTGCTCCCTTCAGCAGTGTACTTCGTCGATCTGCCTGTTCTGCTCCCCACTCTGTCTCTGGTGAAGCCTCTCGCCACCCCTGAGCCTCTGGCCTGTACCCCAGTTCTGTATGTACAAATAAATAAATCTTTAAAAAAAAATATGACTGGATAAAAATAGAGAAAATATGCTTTTCATTTCTACACTATGAAGAATAGTGAAAATTATCCCATCTCCTACACCACTGCTCAGTTAAGTGTCAAAACTGGAGTCATAACACTAAAAGATACATTTTCTCCTTACTGCTGAGGTTCTCTTCTGAAATTACAAAATGGTTATTCCTATTATTAATAAAAGTGACTTCTGATATAAGAAGTAAGGAATGACTATGTAAAACAGTGCTTTTCTTGACTAAAATGTCCATTTAAGTTAAACACAGGATCCAAACACATTTCTATTCAAGTTGTATATTTTATAAAAATCAATTTATTTGCACAAAATAGATGGCTTATGCTAGAATGCTGACTACATTTCCCATAGGTACCTAACATTTTCTACTTGGGCGTATATGGGAATATTAATTAAGTCAATTACCTCTGAAAGAGATGCATCAACCTTGGAAGAAATTTTCAGGTCTAGCCATGGTTGGTAGTTTTCAAGCAGCAAGGCAGGCCTACGGAAAATTAGACAACTAAATTACTTGAAATCCAGAATGTAACTGGAAAGATCAACAAATAAAAACTGTTCATTTAACTTACCTATGTCGTTTACATTTCACTTTACCACAAACAGCACAGCTACGACCTTGAGGAAATAGTTCTTGAAGTCCTGACTGCTAAAAAATGGAAATTGAAGGGAGAAAGTAAGACAAGATTTGTCTTTCCTGAAGACAATCAATTTCTGAATTCAGAAGACATGTATTTTTCATACAAGCTATTTTGGTGAAACAAGATGTCTAGTGACTTGTTTGCTTCTATAGGACAAAAAGACACACAGGGTTAACAGAGTTAAAATTTAATCCAGAATTCTCTTATTTCATACAGAATTCTCTTATTTCATACAGGAAAGCTTTTTAACAAGAACTAGTTTTAAATTTTAATCCAGAAATTAAAATCTGGATTAAAATTTGGTGCAAGGGTTCAGGAATTTTTTTTAAAGATTCCCCACATAGTACTACTGGACAGCCAGCTTTGGGAACCTCTGTTTTAATGTGTTGTATGGATAGTTAATATATGTTAAAGGAGATTTTAAATTGTGAATTTCAACTTTCTAAGAATTTTGTACTTTTTTAATAGATCCCTCCTAGAACTGTATAATCCCACATAAATATAAATCTCACTTTGAAAATTTCCTGTTGTGTGCTATTATTACATAATAGTAGATGGAATTTAAAAAAAAAAAAAACAGTGTCTTAACATGCTTTTAATAATGATAACCAACAGCATAGGGTGGTACATACTAACTCCTTTAAAAGTAACACATAAATTTTACCTTCGGTTTATGTTTTATTGTGAAGAATATATTTGGTAAGAGAGAATCAGGTCCTAATGAGCAGTAGAACGTGACAACTCCAGCAACAAATGACCAGAAGATCAATAAAACATGAAGATACCTTAGAAATAGTGAAAATAATTATTAGACCCAAGTAAAGTATAACACTAAGTTATTCCTGTCTTAACAAGGATTTACTAAGCACCTACTATATCACACTGAAAAAAATCCCTCCAATCATGATTTTCTGTAATGAACTTACTAACTATAAGAATCACATTTGAGACCCTCCCTGGTGGTACAGTGGGTTAAAGTGCAGCACTAAGAAGTTAAAACCACTTTAACATGAGTTCAATCCCTGCCCACAGGGCGCAGCAGACCTCTGCTGACCCGCCCGCTGCTCCCTTCAGCAGTGTACTTTGTCAACATGCCTGTTCTGCTCCCTGCTTTCTCTCTGGTGAACCTTCTCACTGCCCCTATACCTCTGGCCTGTACCCCAGTTCTGTATGCATAAATAAATAAATCTTTAAAAAAAAGAATCACATTTGATATCAAATGTATATTTCATAAGTATAAGCAGGTATAAATTCTCAATATTTCACAATGTGCCAGCTATGTTGTCAGGTGTAATTAGTCTACACTACTTTCTTCCAAAACACCTTTTACTGACATTTTACATAACCAAAATTTGATCATTTCTCATTAAATCAAAATAAAATTTTACCATGTGCCCATTTTGTGCTACACAGTGGTAGATTCAAGGATATAGTAAGTAACAGCACTACCAAGGTCTTTATTTGCATGGAAAATGTTAATAGGTTAACCAGTAAGTAAATGAGCACTACAGAGTATGAGCATGTATCCTTATAAAGACAGAGAAAATACTCATGGTATGGGAACACCAAAAGCAGAATACACGACCGAAATTTAAAGGGAGGTAGAGCATTTCTCAGAGAAGCAATGTCTATGGAAGAAAAGAGAAAATAGGGAAAAACCAACAGAAGGGATGAGGTAGAGGAAAAGAGGCAAGGGAAATCAAATGTGGGCTGTTGTGAGCACAGATCCGACAAACAAATGGTATTGAGATTAGTCTAAAACACCAAGCGGAAGTCAGATGACACAGATTTATATAAAAAATGTTAGAATATCTCAATACAAGCAGTTATCACATTGCAGTTTTGAACTGCACAAATTTTAGATACCATGAAATACCAGAGCTCCAACAACAGTTGAAATCCTACTCACCATATTATATTTATGAATTCTGATTAACTGCATAATGTACAATTTTGATGCTAGCTAGCTCCTCAATATATTATGAATTGTGACGTGAATAACACCAGTTTAGAGAAAAGGAGAAAATGAGGTGGTATCTTTGAGAAAACACGCAGCATATGTTCAAAGGAGTAAGGAACTTCTACTTCCTTGGCAGTAACTAGTATCACATTTGCCTTTCCAAAGTAAATCATAAAACTGGATAAAACATATGCAGTAACTGGTCCTCCCTGGTGGTGCAGGGGTTAAAGTCTCAGTGCTATCAAGCTATTGAAGCCACTGTGACAAGCATTTGATCCCCAGCCAGGGAGCTGACCCACATGGAGCAGTAGACCTCTTCTATCTTGCTCACTGCTCCACTCACCAGTGTATTTCAGTAGATCTGCCTGTTCTGCTCCCTACTCTGTCTCTAGTGAATCCTCTCACCCTCCTCCCCCGGCATCTCTGGCCTACACCCCAGTTCTTGTATGCATATAAAAATAAATCTTTAAAAATACACATTCAGCAACCATTTCTAGGCAATGTATAGTAGGCAATGCAGAGCTGTTATCTCAAGAGAAGGGAAGCATATTAACAAAGTTCCACATCCATCCCAGTTCTCACACTGGAAACAATTTCCCAAGTGTAGCATGCAATAGAAAGGATTACAGAAGATACTGTGAAGTTATGCAACAGCAAGTAGTAAGAAGAGGTGTGCCACATCCTCTCCTGTGGCGCCTAAGTGAGAAATCCTTAGGGCTTGGCACGGTCAAGGTACTGGGCACACGGGAGGAATACGTGGCCCTCCAAGAATAAAAGAATGGCTGATTCTTGAATGGTCACTGTAACTTTTTGATTTGTTTTCTGATTCTGTTGATGCACAACAGAAAAAATGCTATGGATACTGTGCTTCGTTTCTAATGATACTCTTGATAGGAATGTAACTTCCTCTATTCTCGATACTGATTTACTTCTGAGAAACTCCCTTACAATCTTCAATATTATTATACAATTAATTCCTGTATACCAGGTGGCTTGTAAAATGAATGGAGAAAGTAATTAAAAGGATTAGAAAGGCATAGGTGATAGATAAGGTATTTGTTTAACAGCACTGAACCTTGAATACACGGTGGTTTCCTAGGGCCCCAAGTTGGTTTCAGGCCCCTGGCAACATCACAGAAACAAAATGAAATTAATGTATTACCTGTCATGCCTCTATTGAAAAAATCATTGTACCCCTATATTTGCTTGCCAAGAAAAACTGTATAAATGCTCTGTACTCTTAAAAATAAATTACATTCAGATATGCACTCCTAGAAGTCATGTCTGTCTGTCACTCAACCTCATCCTTGTCCACCCACCCTGCACCAGAATTGCAATCCCTGAAACTTGTCTCCTGCTCCTGCAGCGCTGGTCTGCCGCAGACATAAAGACAAATAATGAAGAGATGTGCTTAGATATTATAAAGAGTGGCCAAGTACAAAAACTGTGAGACAAAGTCTAAACTACCCATTTATTAAATGCTCTCACTTGGTATTTAAAACACAAAGAATGGTAACAACCACTCTAACATTGCCTGTAGAATGAAATACAAACCACTTAAACCATTATGGTCCCTCTCAATCTGGCCCAAACCCATCTTCCTACCCTTATTTTTTCCCATTCCTTTACACAAAGCTTCCCTCTAACCAAAATAGCATGCCAGCTTTAAAAAAAAACTTTAGTACTCAAAACTAATTCAGGCTATAGTTATTCAAGTGAAAATTTATAAACTTCATACCTACAGGCACTGATCTAAAGTCATTTGATCCAGATATGACTCAAAATTCAGAATTTTTAGTAATATAGCACATATTCCATATCATCAATCAGTAAGTATGCCTTAATCAGATATTAATATTTCTACAGTAAAACATATACTTCAAATGAAACAAATACTTCAAATGATCTCATGCCAATTCTGGTCAGATTTTGTTATTAAATGTAACTGGTACCAAACTTGGAGAGAAAGTTACTTTTTCAGAGCTTTTGATTTCAAAATTACCAATAGGATTTGTAGACCTCGTCTTGGACTGAATTACAAGAAACACTACATGCACTTCATGTTGGCTATAACTAAGGTGGGAACTATTTAAGGCATTACATAAGAAGGAAATTTAGTAACTTTAAATGCATTAACCCTATAGACCTCAATCATAAGCAGATTTCACACCTCTAGCAAACTCAGGAAGACATTTTGATTGTCACAATTATGGAAAGGAGCAGAGAAAAATGTACTATTGATATCAAGTAGCTAAAGTCCAAGGCTACTGTTAAATATCCTATAATGGACAGGCCAGCCCCAAAACAAAGAATCTGACCTAAATTATCCATAGTGCTGAGGTTGAGAAACCCTGTATTAATCATACACAAATAAATACTGAAACCCAACATGTAATCATTCAGAAAGGGGCATGGGGGAAGGGGGACAAAGGGAGGAAACAACAAATCTAAATGCACATAAAGGAAAGAAAGGCTAAGAACAGACATCAATAAAATAGACAACATTGACAAGGGAAATTAACAAAATATAAACTGATTGTACGGAAAAATTAATTTAAAAAAAAAGCAAAATTCACAGATGCTACTGGAAGTTTTAGGATACCAGTTATTGCGCTAGAAACTGATACTTAAAGGCTACGCATTTGTGTTACTTTTCCAATTTAAAATGTTCTGCAGAGTAACTAATTACATCTGATGTAGTAAATGAATTCTAAATTTCAAAATATAGAACAGGACCTCTCTGGTGATGCAAGGGGTTGCAGGGGTTATCTCAGCACTAATGAAACTACTGAAAGCCACTGCAGCACAAGTTCAATACCCAGCCAGGAAGTAAGCTACACGGCACAGCAGACAGAGCTCTCCTGCTTCACCAAGTCCTCCCCTCAGCAGTGTAATTCAGTAGATCCACCTGCTCTGCTCCCCACTCTATGTCTAGTGAATCCTCTCCCCCTTCCACCCACACTTCTGGCCTACACCTCAACTCTTGTATCATAAATAAATAAAATAAATCTTTAAGAATAATAAAAGATATAGAAAGAATGAAATAATTGGAAAAATAATCACCATTATTAAAGGTAATTCAGGGACTAAATAAACGATAAGACCAAACATTAAGTGTGCTGGGAAAGATACTAGCTATCAGTATGAGAAGCCACAAAAAGTAAGGTAACTCTTCTGAGGAGTTAATTCTCTGATGTGGTATAATAGGATATATGAGGCTGTACCATACCATTTCCATCACAAAAGAAATCTCAACCTAAATCCCAGTCTACAAAATATATGAAAATGAAAATAAAACAAGACACCAAGAAACCATTAGTAAAACTCAGAATGTGAACAAATGAATGACTCAATTTCCTCAATATGTCAATGACATGGGAAAAGAGAGATGAGGAATTTTCTGCATCAAGATTGACAAATTAAGACTTATGACAAATGACACCTGTGGCCCTCAATCTAATTAAATTCTTTACATTTTTAAAGGACCCTAAAAATAAGAGATCTAATGAAACATACAAGCTGTAAAATTTACTGATATTTTGCAGAAAAAAATTTGCTCACCCTTGTTCTAGATCAAAGGTTAATAAAGCCTAATTAGAACAAATGTACTATAATAAATGTACAATTGAGAAAATTTGATTATATACTGTTAGAGGTATTAACCAACTATCACTAGTTTTGTAAGATTATGGTTTTGTGTAGAAATGGTTGTTTAAAAGGAAGAAGATTAGTTTTTTTAACATACAAAATAATGATGGTTGCTGAAATTAAGTGATGGGTACTTACACATTCCTTATACTTCCTTTCTACTATGTATGCAGGGAAATTTTTGAAAGCAAAATTTAAGAAAAAGTTTTACCAAAAGAAATAATTTATAAAGAAAAAGAGAGGATACAAATACACAAAATATAGTTGAAAAAGAAACCCTCAATAGTTATAACTGAAATAAAGAATAATACGAACAACTGTAACTGGAAAAATTTTTTTAAAGACAAAATGTTAGAAATTGTAAGTGAAGAACTAGACAACTTGAATAAATTAATTATCACTAAAGGAATTAAAGTAGTAATGTGAGACCTGCCTGCATAAAAGGTCCCAGCCCTATGGTTTTAGCCAAACTTTCGTGAAATGGATAATCCCTACCTTACACAGATGGCTTCAGAAATCAAAAAATTAGAAAAAAAACTGCTAGTTTAAAAGACTAACATAATTTTAATTCCCAAATCCGATAAAGACAATATAACAAAAGTATTAGGTCTCTTCTTCTTATAAATATAAGGTATGAAGTACAAAACAAAACATTATGCTAATTGAAATTAGCATTACATCATAAAGATAACAGATCACAAGATAAGGTTATATATTTCAAAATAGTTCGGTATCTTTAAATCTACACTATAATGGGCTAAAGGAGAAAAAAATCAAAAGCAGTAAGCCTCTTGACCTAACTATTAGTTTACAGGGAACACAAAGGCAACACGCTGTCGAAAAACACTATAGAATATGATTAGCAAAAGTCAGACTGTGGAAAACTACAGAATAAATAGCCCAGTTTTTTTAACAAACCAACTGCAACATTAAAATTATGGGGGCTAAGGTGGGAATGTTCTGATATAAACAAAACAAATGTACTTTGGTATTTTTTGGGTGTACTTGGTATTTTTCTGGGGAGAGAGGAGTGGATGTTGGAATGTCCCTATAGATTAGTTCCAGAATGGGATGTCTGTATATGGTGTGTTAATAGGTATCTCTGACTTTTGGAAGGGATTGTAGCTGCTGCTGCATGACCTGTTTGGAAACCCCAAGTACAATTTCTGGTTTTCTCTAACTGTCAGATGGGAAGATACCTGATTTTTGTGTTTTTATCTGCTTTTTATGATTGCTGCATTGACCCAGGCTTTGGCAGGGAGGGATGAAAAGATATTTAAAATAAAAATGTTTAGAAAGTTTTTATAGGCCCTTCCTGGGGTGTAATGGGTTGGAGCCCAGCACTGAAAGTTGGCTATGGCTGCTTCAGTGCATGTTCAATCCTCACCCCACCCTGTCCAGGAGGAAACCACAGGGTGCTGCAGACCTCTCCTGAGTTGCCCACTGCTCCCCTCAGCAGTATACTTCGTCAGTAGGCCTGTTCTGCTCCCGACTCTGTCTCTGGTGAATCCTCTCACCGCCCCTGTGCCTCTGGCCTGTAACCCAGTTTTGTAGGCATAAATAAATCTTTATAAAAAAAAAAAAATTGAACCCAAAATAGTCATCCATACTGAGTACCCATTCAAGATTTAATGCCCAATCTTACACGCAGTTTCAATCTCTCCCAAAAGATGATGCTAAACCCACCAATCTGCAGTTACCTGGTTAGCTCTAGTGAAGTAATGTGTGCATCCCCTGAGAAAAGATGGCTTTACTTGAAACAATCTCTTGCTAATATCCTGCCCCACCTTCTTTCTGCCTATAAACATTTTTCACTTCATATAAACTCTTGCAGTATCTAGATGTGATGCTTCGCAAATAGTCAATGAGATCCCAAAACTTATCAATTGTTACAAGACCCTCTGCTTGCCTAACCTGCTTGTTATTGAGCCCCTAGTCAATCTCCAATAAGAAACAAATCACTTCTTTTTTATGCAGAATTTTCTTGCTTTCAGTGGCTAAAGCCTGATAGCCAAAGCAGCAATATGAGAATACATGACTCAAAAATTACCTAAGGCTAATTAGCATGCTAAAATGTAAACCTCTGGGTGGATATTTCAGATGCTAATGATATATGCAAATTATCAAGAAATGAACAACCCATCAACAAACACCCCAGCGTAGCCTGACCCAAAAAATAATGGATGCTCCTCCCCTAATTTTTGAAGCTGCATGATAGGCACATACAGGTTTCATCACTATTTTTTTTTATTTTGCATATGTGTGAAGTTTTCCATGACAAAGTTTTTAGGTGAAAAAAATATTAAAGGGACATAAGAGCAGATCTGAACAAATGGATATATTTATGCTCAAGGGTGAGACCACATAAAATAGTAACCAATTCTACCCAGATTAAATTGCAAGTTAAACTACAGAGGTATTAAATATGACTTTAACACACTTCACATCAAAAGGAAGAGTCTAATTCCCTTCCCCTTGAACATAGACTAGTCTTAATAATTCACTCCTAACATAAAGAATATGGCAGAAATTATGCTGCCTAAATACCAAGGCTAGGTCATATAAAAAATATGATTTCCACCAAGCTTTTTTTATCGGGATGATCACCTTTTAACCCACACCCACATGGGGAAAAAAGGACAAATGAAAAGACTATATATGTACATATTCTGGCCTACTGAACAGTAAAAATCACTGCCAACAATCAGCATCAATTGTTACACTTGTGAATAAACAAATCTACAAATTACACTAGTAACAAACACAAAATAACCAAAAATGTATGCAAAAAATAAAACCGACAATTTCATAACAAACACAACAACTCACATCACATTTATGTGTATGTCCTTTCTTTGAATAATAAAATACAGGGTACAGATTAAAAAATATACAGATCAGATGGCATCCTATGGCATATAAACATAACCAAATGCTGTGATTAAGTAGGCAATTTCAAAATGTAGTTCAGTCTGCTCCAACGTGGTTATTCCACTTCAAGAACTGAAGGGAACCAGTCACAAAAATGATATGGTATAAAGTCTGTTTCATACCAAACCTGTTCGTCTAGTTTATAATGCTTTTCATATGACAGAAAGCAAATAAATGCCTACTAGTTTCCACTCTATTAAAGACTCCCTTTCTTCCATTCTCCTACACCAAACATGTCACCATACTATCAAAGTGCACTTTTTTATAGAAATAAAGCGCGATTAAAACCTAGTGTTATTGAAACCCAATATCAACTAAGAAGAAAGCAAAACAGCTGGCAAAGAAACTTCAACTCTGTTCACGGGAAATGGTTACCTTTAAACAAAAAGTTAGCAAATTCCTATGAACCTTTCTCGCTCCTCTTCTTGGGATTCAACTACCGTAAGTGAAGGGATGTTGAATATTCAAAACATCTGAGAAAACATAATGCAGGTGCTGTCGCTGACAACTATCTCAGACTTTGTCCACCAAAAGCATAATTTTGAAGAAAAGACTCTCATGCGTGACTTACCTTCCCACCACCGATTCTAGAAATAGCAAATGAAGGAAACAGACAAAATGATTTCAAAGACTGAACCTTCGGAGTTGAAGCTGTCAACTGGACGTACCAGTTAGCTTTCAGGATGTTTACATGTTTTACCACTAGCCTTCCTTTTAGGAACATTCCAAGTTTACCCCTTGCTCTCTGCGTGTCTGTGTGCTGAGAGGGAGTACACCTAAAACTGCAGCTGGGACAGAACCCTGAACCCTGCTGTCAGCTGACCCCGCAGCCCCGGCAGGACCAGAAATTGGGTCGAACTTGGAGATTTCACTGCTCAAACAAACAAGCAAACAAAAGCCGGTGGTGGTGAACCAGGTTTTCAGAAATGGACGAAAAGAAGTGAGACTGAGAGCGGGGTGGCTTAGGAAAGAGGCTTTAGGAAACGGGGCCCCTGAACGCCCCCCCCCCACAAGCTCCGCACTTCCGGGCCCCCGCAGCTCCGCAGGCTGGGGCTCGCCCTACGCCGTCGCTGTCCCCAGAGGCCTCGCAGCTGCGCAGCCGGACCGCTCGCCACACCGCGGCCTGCGCCGGCAGCGGGCAGAGCAGCTGTCGCCGCCCGGCTGACTCGGCTGTTACCTGTTGAGGAGCAGGGAGGCGGCGCTGAGGCAGAGCAGCAGGCAGCAAAACAGCGGATATTGGCGACAGACCTCGCGCCCCACGTCCAGCCGCAGCCGCTGCTTCAGCTTCTCCCCTACCGCCCGCACCCAGGGCATCATCTCGGTCCGCTTTACTGAAGCTGAGCTAGAGTGAAGTCGAGGTCGAGGCGACCCCCATTGACCTCCCGCGCCCTGCCCAGCCGGCCGGCGGCCGACCCACGCAGCCGCGGACCCGCGGACAGTCCGCGGACTGTGGTCCCCGAAGGCCCCGCCCCCCGGGCGCCGGCGCGCGTGCGCGGCCAACGCCCCCAGCCGGTACAGGGTGGCGTGCGAGGAAACGGTCACGGCGTGCGCGACGTTGCCGGCGGCCCGCGACCCGCCCCACGGCCTCCCGACGCGAGCCCCAGAAAGAGGTCCTGACACGCTAGACTCCACCGGATTCTCGGCAACCCGGAGAAACTGTGGGGCCTAGTGACGCTCTGCGTTGCAAAAGAGAAAGTGGTGCCCGCAACAAGAGAAAAACACCCCCACACTCGAGGGACCCGCCGGCGGGACACCCGCGTCCGCGGCGCCTACTAGACGCTGTAGTCTCTGACGCGAGCCGCAGAGGAATGAGCCAGTGTCGCGCCCCAGCCGCAACCACGCCTCGCGCTACCCTCGGCTCCGATTGGGCAGGTCCGTGCTTTGCTCGACGCCCGAAACGGGGACGAGCGAATAAAAAACAGCGTTGTGATCAGTACGGAAGTAGAGACAAACCCACCGGCGCCGCCCTGCGAGACACCGTCTTTCGCGCGCTCACGGGCGAGGGAGTGCTCAGTTCACTCCAGCTCGCGGGCCTGGCCAAACGCTACAGGACTGGGCGAGGCAGGTTGGTGTTCAGATCAAATCTCTTGTAGTCTCGTAGCGCTACTGATTGTCGTACTTTTCTAAATGTCGGTTTTAGTCTTCTCCGCTACTCTGGAGCAGAGACTGCATCCTAGCAACAACTAAAATTTAGACGGCGCCCAACTTTCACGTCAGGATAGTAGGTAGTCCTTTTTCTCCCATTTTGCCGCGACATTACTGAGGCGGTGGCACTCGCTCAGAATTAACACACCAGCTTCATGGGGACTTGAGGCCATTCTAACCTCAGCGGGCTTTCTCAGGATGCCTTTTCTCTAACTAGGACGTTACCTTTCCAAGTGCAGTCATAGACACGTTTAAGTGTACGCAGTTTCATGTTTTCTCAGGTTATTCCTAATACAAGGGTCATTTAAATGCTACATTTTCTTTCAGAATGTGCCGTTTATTATTCCATTATCAGTGTCTAATTTCAATATTATCCTTGATTATAAATCTACACATTTCTAATGAGGACCAGTATCAATAAAATTGTTGGATTAAAGCATAAGAACATGTCAAATTTCTTCCTAAAAAGTAATTCCACGGTTGTATATAAAAATTCTATTTCACTGACCGCACCATAAGGTATAGTTTAAAATCACAAACTTTTCCATTTCTGAAACATTCAAAAGACTACCATCATTAGGAAGTTTGGTTGTTTTGTTTGGGGGAGTACATATTTAAACACTTAATTCACTTTTACAGACTTTCGTTCCCCAGCCCCTTTATCTGTAGCCACTTGTTTATATGGACATTCTAAGACCACACTGAAGGATTTATAAATGGTGTATGTGGATTAAATTAAGCACATCATATGTCTATCTGGTCTTCAGCGCTTTTATACCTGGGTATAACATTGTTTTTAGATTATTGGCTTTTTGCAGTTATATTGCCAATAGGTGTTTTTCTTTTTTCCATTCTTACAGGATTATTCTGAAATTACTTTTCAATATTTTGTTATCAGCAGTAAATATATTTTGTCGTATTCAAATTAGACTTTGTAACATCTCACTAAGCTTTCCTGTGATTTTTAGTAGAGACGTTAAGAATAAACTAGACAAGTCTACATAACCATATTGCCCTTAAACTCAGAACTGTCTGCCATAAGAAAATCTTTGAAGTCCCTACTTAAAAAGAAATATTACCATTTAGACAGATCATATCTAACAAAATTAAGTAACTTCAATTTCTTTTAATTTTATGGTGTATAATCCATTTTCACCTTCACACACACACCACTAGGAACTTCCTAGTGGTGGCAGGGGCACCACTAGTAACCCTGATTCTGAAAACAGTTCTACCTTCTAGCAGCAGTTATCACATTGGGCAAATTATTGATAGCTGGTCCTACCTTAAACCCTGCATTCTCAATCCTAAAAGATATCTTTGTAAGATAAATTGGATAAAAGTTGTCTTTTTAGACTTAATACAAGATTTTTTTATTTTACCAATTTAAAAACGTTAAAACCAGCTAAACTAATCAGCTTTATTTGGATTGTAATAACCTAAACAGGAAATGACATGAAATCAAAGTGTTGATTTCCTGTCAGAACTTAAAAGTCCAATACAGTACTAACCACTTGAGCACTTGAAGTTTGAATACTTTAATTAGACATGTATCATAAGTATAAACTATGCATTAGATTTCAGAGACATGAAAATACAAACTCAAGCTTCTAAAAAGTGATTATATGCTAAATGAGTACTTAGAATTAATGGTTAAAAATACTAATCCCGAGTTGGAGATGGGATCAAAAAACGGGGGCAGGAAGGGAAATACACTGGAACTGATGATGGCACACAGGTTATTTGGTGATGGGAAGTCCACGTGGATTGCAACTGAGATGGGAAAATGCACAAAATGACATAAAAAAATTTTTTTAGACATTTGTGGTTTGCATTGAATTCTACGTGACAGTGCTCCTCTAGACTTTAGCTGTGAACTACTCTAATGTGTAATTTTTTAATAAATGCCAATTGTCCCATGCATTAGAGGTACATTTTTAAACTACAAAAAAGGTAAAAAATAAAGTTGATAATGTTTTCATCTAAAGGGCTTATAAACATCAAACTAAAATCCAGTAAAATCTCCATTATTTTAATATTTATTGAATTAGTAAGGCACTGTACTATATGTAGTACCAGATACAATGATCAAATGCATTTTTTCTGACCTCTGAAGGCTTACAATCTATTGGAGATATGTCACATTTAAAATAATGTATAATGCTGGGCATATTTATATACGAAGGTGGTATTTTTTTTGGATGGGAATGATTTCCCAGGTGATGGGAAACTTCAGCTGTGAGGATCTTGAAAGGCCTCAAGGAAGACAATTTAAGAGTAGAATTTCTCTTTGCTTTCACTTAATTTTCAGAAGTCATCATTGCAAATGTTTTTAGAATGTTTCTAATTAAACTAGATTTTCCACTCTTACCCCACAACTAGCAAACTCCAAATTGTTCTTTATATATTGGGACAGTAACTTCTTGGTGTTAAGCCTGCTTCTTGCTGATGACCCTAAATTAAAAAACAAATTTTAAGTTTTAAAGGCCATCATTTTCTATGGCATTAGTGTATCAAGAAGATAAAACTACCTACCCTAAAAGAGCGATTACAGTTCTACCTTCTCACCAGATGTGCATGTTCTCAATGTCATTTCCAAACTCGGGTTTTTTCCCCCAATCTCAAGATCTTGTGTGCTTCATTTTGTGGCATTTGTTATTAAGTCTTAATTCCATAATACCGTGTTCTCCCGTTCTTCCCACAACCTATCCCTATGTATCAGCCTCTGGATAATGATTCAATGATTACTGTTAAAGGAATCAGACAGCCTTTTTACTTCCATTCTTGGTTTTCAAAAATGGAACTCACTACTAGGGAGAATGCGTAATTCAGAGAACATGAGGGATTTTTTTTTTGAGTTGGAAATGTTCACAATGCAGTTATTATTTTACTATTTAAAGTGTTTTTCTTTGGCCATTAAGTTAAAATCTCCAAAGAGGAGGTATGACTCAATGCAACCTTACAGAACTAATAGCTCAAATAGATACTCCCTTAGTTAAAAAAAAAAACAACACTATATTTTGACCGTGAAAATTCTGGGTGGTCTTATTATCTCAGTGCCAAAAATTAAACTTTTAATGCTTGTCTTAAAAGTTTTAAGATATAGGGGTACCAGTACTCTCCAACTTCTACTTTCATGTAAATGGGTAACATGGTCTTAACTTCAGGAAAATGTATATTAGCTGATTGGAAACTGAAAATACATTGAACTGCCTGTGGGTAAATACTGAAGACTGGAAAAGGCACTTAATAATACACCACCACCAATGTTTTGCCTACCTTTTCAAGTAATCCTTTAAGAAAACAATCCAATTAATTTAACTACAGAAGACAACAGCTTCCTTTCATAGAAATAATATTGCTAGTCAGATATTGAAATGTAGCTTTTGATTGACTTCAGTAACTTCTGAAAATATTTTGAAAAGGCTTTATTTACAGTAATTTTACTTTTTATATTTCCTAAAATATAAAAATTAAAGCACTTTCACATGGTACCTATCAAAAAGAAACCATAGAATTACGCATACATGGTTCAAAATTAGGACTATCATTAATATTGGTACTTGAATATCAATTCTAGATAGTATAATACCAAATAATTAAAATCTTTTACTCACTAAAAAAAAGAAAAATTGGCAAACTAGTCCAACTAGTGTGATATATGAAATACAGCATATCCAATTAGAAATCAAATGTAAGATAACTTTAGAATCTTATTGAAAAACTCCCTTTACTTACTAAAAGACAGTGATCATTTAAAATTAGGTTTCTTTGGCTCAGATAAAATTTCAAAACACTAAGAATTGTTGAGCATTAATAGCCATATGGTCTATGTAAGTTCAAGGTATATTCTTATGTATTCAATTACAAACTTTACCCAGACATTCAAACTTCTATCCCTTTGTTTACATAATTTAAAAATTACCTTACTTGTAATTCCTTATTTCTGAAGGCTAAGAAAAATGCTCCTCTAAGAAAAATATTTCCTCATCAGAAACATTGATGACAGGGTTGGAGCAATTTTCCTAGAGTCAAAAGATAAGATGCCAACAATTCTTAACTAGACCCTTTCAAGAACTGAGTTTTCAAACATTTTAATATATATAAAGTGTGATTTCTATGTATATATTCAATCTCACCCAAATTTTAGTTTTTACCCATCCCCCCTCCTCCACCGGCTGTATAAAGCAGCATATAAAAACTTAGTAATGGTAAAAAATGGAAAATTCTACCCATGTACACTGTTGACAGAAAACGAAATGTGAAGGGTAGCAGCAGTGACAATTAT